ACAGAGTTGCCAGGCCGAACGTACGGAGGCCCCTAAGCTGACCCCCGAACGTTCGGGCGTTCGGGTCCCCGTACGGGGCCCGAACTCGAAGGGGTTCGGACCACGCCAAAAAATATTTTGGTACCTAAACATTTTTTTTTTTTCTGATTTTTTTTTTGTGAGTTCTCTTTTATGTAAGCTACCTGTCTCTCAATTTTGAAGTCATTCTGTGATCCAAACAATAATGAAAAATCGGCAAAGATGGTGGTGTCAAAACTTGCTTTCCCACTTACTAATTTTTTTTTTTCTTTTTTTACTTTTTGTTTTCCCTTTATTTCGGGGCCTGAACAAAATTATTATTTTTTCAAACTTTATTTGTAGGTTCTCTATTATGTAAGATACAGATGTGTAAAATTTCATAGCATTTGACAAAGTCAAAAAAAAGTGAAAAATCGCCAAAGATGGCTGTGTCAAAAACTTGCTCGCCCACGCAATAATTTTATTCTCGTTTTATTTTTTCTTATTTTTATTAATATTATTTATTTTTCGTATTTGATTTTTATTTCAAATTTGGTAAGGAATTTGGATGTATTGTTGGGGCAAATGTTGTTTAGTTTATTCTTCTGCATGACATTGTTTTTTTTCAGAATTTTTAAAAACTTTGTTTTTTTTTTGTTTTTTTTTTTTTGGTTTTGCGTTCGGCCCGTCCCGAACGCCGGCAACCCTATATATATATATATATATATATATATATATATATATATTGACTAAGAGAGTAAGCACGTGAAGTAGAAGAAGAAATAAGATGAGCAAAAAAAATAAAAAGGAAAGGACAGACACGCAAAAAGACAGACAAACTAGAATGACACAAAACAGTGTTTTTTTATCTTTGTTTCACTGTATTCTTATTTCTTTTAGTGTTTTATAAAAAACAATTACACTAAACAAATAATAAAAATAAAAAACAAAGACACATTAAAATCATTAAGTTTCTCAGTTTCCTAACGCCTCCTCCACCATGCCTCAAACGTACAAGGCTCGCCACGTTGATGAAGTTGAGCGTGAGCTGCCCCCATCCCCATATGCCATATCAACCTACTTCCATGCTATGAGAAATAGGCAGAGTGAAGGAAGAGGTGTTAAACACAAGGAAGAGAGGAGCAAAAAAATAAAATCGCTAGGTGGAGAGATAATAAATAAAAAAAGTGACACAAACATCTTATTTTTTTTACTGTATTCTTCTTTCTTTCACAGTTTTGCAGTTTTTGTGAAGAGTTTACCACGTTCGCTTTTCAACGCACTGCATTTCCTTCCTCATTTTTCATTCTCATTTTCACCCTTCGGACTTGTCCTTTGAGGGTGCTAGGGTGCAGGCAGTGTAAAATGTCACAAACTTATATTATTCTTTTACTGCATTTTTCATTGTTTTGCAGTTTTAGTTAAGGGTTTTCCACCTTTGCACATTCTTGTACACTCTTTTCAGCGCACATGCATATTTTTGCCAGGGTGCAAAGTACGTCTAAGTAAGACCCTCACGACAGATAGGACAACTTTTCATAAGGATACGGGTGATGGTAGCAGCCCTCCCGCTGATCTACATGACAAAAATCATTTAGCTAAGCAACTTCGTCATAGTAGGAGCCGGGGCGGCTAACATTAACCATACCTCTTAAGAATGCACGGCGGAGCGCATGCCGGTTGCAGGTCATGACGATTGTGGGGCGTCCACCATCACACTTAAATGCACATTCGCTATAGCGTCCGCAAATACAAATGTGACATACTGCATCTGGATGTAGAGGATGTTCACAATCCGAATACAAATGGCATCCCTGTCGACAGCGGACCCAAACAATTATACAGTTGCAGTGATGTCGACAAAGTCAATGCTTTCCACATCCAAGTGTAACTGTGTCAGTGATCTCACAAAGAAGGAGGTCGCAAGGTGTCAGTGCAGCATGTGGGGAAACGAAGACTAAAGCAGGCACAGTGACAGACACGGAGGTAGGCATGGAGATAGATACAGAAACGGGTATGGAGA